CTATAAGATGGGGGCAGATTTTATGTGTTTGATTAATTTTGGATGATTTCAGCCGGGACAATGGGATGTGTTCAGTTGCATTTACTGGAATCCTTTTCCATTGTCAGGATCATGTGGCATCACCAGCCCGGAGAACGAGGTCAAGATCCGCAAGCGTTCGGGGAAAATGGAAGCTCGGGCCCGTCCTGATAAGACTCTGAAAAAGAAATCTCTGAGCCACAAGGGGAAATTGGATGGAAATCTCAAGCGCAAATTGCCATCTGACAACGGGACACTAACACCCAGCAAGGGCTTATTCGGCACCCCAAACCAGGTCCTGAAGAAGGACAAGAAGTGTAAAAACATCCAGGTGAGTAAGGGCCTGCCATGATCTGGCATTTGTGGGAGATTTATATCCTACCTGTTAGAAAGCCGAACTCAAATATATCTGTAAAAAAATAATTCAAGGCAGCTGGACCTGCTGTATTTTTCTTGAAGACGTCTTGCTCCATTCAGAATTGAGAGAGCTGGTCGGATGACCTGCGAAACGTCTTAAATAAAAAATACAGCAAGTCCAGTTGCCTTGATTTATTTTTTAGATATACTATGACCTGGATGAATGAGAACCTTCAAGACAAATCGTTAAATACACAAATGATCTACATACACAGGAGCTGCTTTACCTGCCAAAGGATTTGTATTTTTGTCCATCCAGTCCTGATATTTATCCAGTTCTGTCAGCCCGTCTGGTGACCTGACCTACCTCTGCCGTTGTTAGAGCAATACAGCCTGGTCTTATTAGGGACTGTCTTATCTATATGTGACTGAAGAAACTTCTCTGTCATTTAGAGAAAGAATGGGGTTCTCAGCCTTTCCCTGACATCACGATCCCCTAAGAATCTTCTGAAGGACGGGATGAAGATGGGGAGGATGAAGTCCAAACAGGTACGTTGGAGTTTTTAATGTGGAGTTTTTCCAGACCTGCGGGGAGCTATGACATCACTCCACCACCATGTGACGGTGCTTGGACCTAGCTGTTGGCCACTTGGCCTGAGTGCTGCATCATGTAAGGAGATCACATGCTCCCCTTTATGGGTGAAAGGCCTGAGTGGGTCTTTGTCATTTTTATAATTGGTAATATGGCAGGAAATGGATATGTAGGTGACACTGAAGGGGTCTTAGGTAGGTAGGAGGAAAACCAGGCAAGAGCAGAGTGGGTGGCAGTAGAACCAGGCAAGAGCCGAGTTGGGTAGGAGGAAAACCAGGCAAGAGCCGAGTTGGGTAGGAGGAGAACCAGGCAAGAGACGAGTTGGGTAGGAGGAGAACCAGGCAAGAGCCGAGTTGGGTAGGAGGAGAACCAGGCAGGAGCAGAGTGGGTGACAGTAGAACCAGGCAAGAGCAGAGTTTGGTAGGAGGAAAACCAGGCAAGAGCAGAGTTGGGTAGGAGGAAAACCAGGCAAGAGCCGAGTTGGGTAGGAGGAGAACCAGGCAAGAGCCGAGGTGGGGAGGGGAGGAGAACCAGGCAAGAGCAGAGTTGGATAGGAGGAGCACAACCAGGCAAGAGCAGAGTTGGATAGGTAGGAGGAGAACCAGGCAAGAGCAGAGTTAGATAGGTTGAAGGTTCAGGCAAGAGCAGAGTTGGGTAGGAGGAGAACTAGACAAGAGCAGAGTTAGATAGGTAGGAGGAGAACCAGGCAAGAGCCGAGCCTTGGAGGCCATAACAGGAAATAGATCTAAGGGGGGTCTTTTTGAACCATTAAATCGTATTCCGTCCCCTCATTGGTCCCCCACATCATACAAATCATTTTGTATTCTCGTCTCCAGGAGCGGGGCCGCGCGGTCAGTCGCCTCCTGCAGAGCTTTGCCGTAGAAGATGACTTCCAGTTCGATGATAACAGCAGTTTTTCGGAGGGAGAAGAGGAGGCCAGCTCGACGGGCAAAAAGAAATGTAAGGCCGCAGCCTGCGAGGAGCCGTCCCAGAGGAAGGGGGAAGGTTTTCCGTTTATTTTTTTCTAAATTGTGGCTTTGTTTTGTCACAGCTCACATCTGCTCCTTGTCCAAGACGGACCTGAGGGAAGGTCTGCAGGTTCTCATCCCCAAAGAGGACAACCTCATGTATGCAGCCAGCATTCGAAGTTTGCAGCCCCCCGACATGTAAGTAATTTGGGGTCTCTGCAGCGGGCGGGATTGAATTGTAAGTTATTGTTAGCGGGAGTCATGTGATCTCTGTGAGAGGTGATAGATACCTGGAAGCGTTATACGGACACATTGTATGAGCTAAACATGAGAACATCTGATGACACGTTCACTTATACAACCCCTCTGTCTACACACTTGCATGAGGCGCTAGCAGGAGGACAGACACCACAATCGGGCAACAGATCTAGAAGTTGGTAGTGACATGACATGACAGGTCCTCTTCTATCTGACGTGTCTCTCTCTGTGGGTTGTATGATAACATTCGGATTCCTTCCTTCCAGATACAGTGTTGTAATAGAGGGGGAGAGAGGAAACCGACCTCGGATCTACTCCCAGGAGCAGCTGTTACAGGAAGCGGTGAGTCCTCCCCTCCCCCTCCCCCCTCCTGACCCGTCCCCCGATCCGGGTTCATGTCCATTTTTCAACATGATAATGACATTGAATAAAATCTTTCTGTTTTCATTATATCCCTTATTTTACATCTGGTGATGTCATCACTGTGTCTCTGAGCGTCTTTATTGCAGTGCAGGCAGATCATGGCTGAGGGGAGGTTGCTGTACATGGCCTACTGAAAGCATCACAGCACCCTGCCTCAGTACTCCTCACTGGAGTCCTCATGCAAGCAGTGGGCCGGCTCTTGGGAGGAGTTATGTAAATATCAAAATGCCTCGATGGGTGGGTGTCAGTCTGGAGGAGTGGGCGTTCCTAGGCAGGTTGTATTTGCATGCAGACCTCCCTAGGTAACGCCCACATGTGACGCTGAGCCTCCATGATTGAAAGAACTGAAATCCAATTAATGAAAGGGGCGGGGTCAGGGAAGAAAAGTGCTAAATGATGCTGGACGTCCTACAGCCAGGAAGTGAGGCGGAGCTCTATGTGACTTGCTGCAGCTTCTAATGCATATTGTGATATACTAAATAATGAATGTAATACAACGGCTCTGACTCTGGCGCTGTTACCTGGAGGACCCGATCTGATCCATCGACCTGTCTGCCCTCTCCTGAAAGCCGATTGGTCGGTTTGTGCGGCGGGCCTCCGCTGTTTGTGCCGTGTTATTAAATAAAGAATTGGTGTCACTTTCAGCTCCATGACTAAGCGACAAACAACGCTGCGCAGAAACCTCAACAGCTGCGCGTTAATCAGACCCGTCACCCACACAAATGACTAAATTGGTGTCTTTAACACTCGGGTAATGATCTGTCTCTGTAACTCGGAGCGAGAAAAGGAAACATTTGCCGGGTTCGTCTGCGGCAACGGAGGAGCTTTCCGTGTTTATAGACTCCGGCCACAGACGGAAATCTTACAATGTATCGGCAACGATCAATCTTTTTCCTTTTGTGTGTTCCGCGTATTGTGAGACTTTCAGCCATATCCTCTATGGAAGGATTGACTCCGCCCCTCCTGTAATAAAGAACGCTCACTGCTGCTCTCTCTCCTTGTGCAGGGTGACTGGTCTTGTCTCCGCCCCCTCCTGTAATAAAGACCGCTCACTGCTGCTCTCTCCACTTGTGCAGGGTGACTGGTCTTGTCTCCGCCCCCTCCTGTAATAAAGACCGCTCACTGCTGCTGCTCTCCCTGCTTGTGCAGGGTGACATGATGATCTCACTGCTACTTTTGCAGGGTAGTATGTGGGTTTGCAAAGACATTTCATGCACACAAAGTGGATTTATATCCTTTGCGACTATTGAGGAATATATTTAAATTCAGGTTTTTGTCCCTGAAGTTGTGTTAAGTGCACCTGCCCTGTTACCTTCTCTGACTTCGAGGACAGGCAGCAGTGGCCGGGAACCATGGGACATTTGGTCCCGGATAACAAGAGGAAATGACACAGGTGCGCAGACCCTCATAGGAGGATCGGCTCTAGGATGATGCCATAGGTAAAGAGACCCTGTCCTGTCACCTTGTACATTCAGGGGAAAGGGTCTCCTTATTGCCGGTCACCGATCCTGTTATACTGACCTTCGTATTGTGCTCTCTCTGCAGGTGATAGATCTCCGCCCTCAGTCATCACGTTGCTTGCCGCATGGAACGCGTGTCTGCGCCTACTGGAGCCAAAAGTCTCGATGTCTGTACCCAGGGAACGTAGTGAAAGGTATGACCGTCCTGAGCGATTATCGGGGAGACACAACTGCAAAGCCCAACAAACATATTCCTAATGAATGGAGTGGGAGGAGTTAGAAAGTGTTAAAAAAGCTGTCCTTGAGCTTCAGTCAGTGGCTTTGCCTAGGCTGAGATGATGTCATCAGTCTGCTGCAGGCAGGGGGAAGCATTTCCTCAGTCGCTCCTCCCCCAGTGATCAGTCTGCTGCAGGCAGGGGGAAGCATTTCCTCAGTCGCTCCTCCCCCAGTGATCAGTCTGCTGCAGGCAGGAGGAAGCATTTCCTCAGTCTCTCCTCCCCCAGTGATCAGTCAGCAGCAGGCAGGATGAAGCATTTCCTTAGTCTCCTCTCCCCCAGTGATCACTCTGGTGCAGGCAGCATGAAGCATTTCCTCAGTCCCCCCCCCCCCCCCCCCCCCCGAGAATCCTGGCAGTGGCTTATCCCTCCCCCCCCCCCCCCCTCCCCCAGTGATCAGTCTGCTGCAGGCAGGAGGAAGCATTTCCTCACATCAGACTGTACATTGTATAGATCAGGGGTAGGCAACCTTGGCTCTCCAGCTGTGCTGAAACTACAAATCCCATAAGGCATTGCAAGCCGCAGGCATGACTCCCAGAGGCAGAAGCATGATGGGATTTGTAGATTCAGCACAGCTGGAGAGCCAATGTTGCCTACCCCTGTTACAGTGTCACAATGTGAGAGGCTGCAGCAGGGGCTGATGTGCATGAAACATTTGTTAACACAGGCATAACTGTGTCATCTCCGAGCAAGCATCTCAGTTTAGGAAGTAGATGGTGACCCCCGGATGATGCCTGAACAAAGATGGTGCCTTCCTCTTGGGGGAGAAAAGCAATTTGAGGCATTATCAGGGGTAGTTAATCATCTGTTACACTTATATATTATGTAGCATGTTGTACTTAAACTATATCTGATGGCAGGGCTGCTTAAATACCATTCATGGATTAATATTGTAGTATCAGAGAAGGTGGCATGTACACGGCTGTCTTCCTGCCCGGTAACCCCATAGGTGGAAATCAGCAGCTGTCTCTCCTCCAGCAATGGCCGCCAACACAGAATGTGGATGTAGCATCAGCAATGTCCGTTTCCAACAAGTGTTCCCGTAGAAATGTCCCTTCGAAGTTCCCTTACTAGAGCTCCCCCCAACCCCCACTTGTATTTTCGGCGCTCGGCCTCCTATAGGCTCCCATTTCAGTTGTGCCGTTTTTTTTAACATTCATTTTTAAAATCTTTTTTTTGTACGAAACGAAAATCATTTTCCAGAAATTAAAAACGTCGGTTTTAGGAGTTTGTCCGTGCCAAGCTATTCACTCAGCTGTTACACACGAGTTTGATTATGTCGTAGGAAATCTGGCCCCGGATCCATCGGTTTCAGGCTGAAATCCAGCTTGGAAGAAAATCGGTTGGCCTCCGTGTCATCTCTAAAAACCATCAGCGGATAGAGGGAAAAAGAAAGTGAACCATATACGTGTGTCTAGAGGGGGGGGGGGGGGGGGGGGGGG